CCTAGAAAAGCAACAATCAGAGTGATCCTTGAAGAACTCTGTGAATCCCCTCACAAGCTCCCCTACAAGATCCTCCTCTCTCCTCTCTCTCTTTCTCTCCTCAAGGCTTCTCGGTTAAGGCAGTCAGCCAAGGTGTTCAAAAAATGTAGAACAAGAGTCTTAAATAGAAGAGCTTCAAAGGAGCTCATTTATTTCAAGTTGCCGACTTTATCTCCAGGCCGATATGGAATCGGCCTGGCCGTCAGTAGAAACATCAGAAGATCGGCCAGAGTATACCCTGGATAGACTGCTGGTCTAGAGTTTCTCGTCCGTGGAAGGGTCGGTAGAGGTAAGGAGTTAGCCTTTGGTTGTGGTTCTCTGCCAGCTTCAGGAGGAAGCAAAAGGAGATAGGTTCTCTGCCTTGCCGGGGTGGCAAAAAGGAGGTTCTTGTGAGGGCTTCTCCGCCTAGCCGTGGGGGCTAAAGGAGAGTCACTTTTTGTGTAGTGCAATACTTGGAGGGTGCCTCCAAGGAGTGGACGTAGGTCGAGTTGACCGAACCACTATAAATATCTGTGTTCTTATTTTTGCTTCCGTATTTTTTTTCGCATTTATTTTTCTGGTGTGATTTTGGTTTATGTGATTTTCATTCTTTGTGAAAAGAAATTTTAAAATACCAATTCACCCCCCCTCTTGGTTAGCTTGGGACTAAGTTCATAAGGGCTTAACATCCCTAACGAACTTTAATACATCACTTGAGTTCTCCCTTATACATGCTAAGGACTTTAATCGACTTCATTTCATGATCTTTTTTAACCTCAATAGAGTAAATGACAAATAAATTTGACTCCTATCCTAAAATGCATAGTTCCCCCTCTTGGTTAGCTTGGGACTAAGTTCATAAGGGCTTAACATCCCTAACGAACTTTAATACATCACTTGAGTTCTCCCTTATACATGCTAAGGACTTTAATCGACTTCATTTCATGATCTTTTTTAACCTCAATAGAGTAAATGACAAATAAATTTGACTCCTATCCTAAAATGCATAGTTTAAAATAACGAAATGCTTTCAATTTTAGCTTAGACAACTCAACTATAATTAGTTTCAAAGGTTTTCATTGAGATGATGTATCTAAAACTTTAAATCGTTCCCTAAACATCGTAAGGGTGTCACTAATAACATAAATTGAGTCTCTCTATCTCTCTCAAATCATCCTTACATAATGAAATATCTAAATGATTATCACCCAATATCTCCTCCATAACATCCTCTACAGTGAATTGAAAAAATAAACTATACAAAAATTGTCACCCTGATCTTTATGAAACTTAATACAATTCAAAACTTTGAAAGAGACTTCTTGATCTTGAACTCTCATGGTTAACTCTCCCTTCTTAACATCCATTATGGCCCTACCTATTTCTAACAAAGGTCTACCTAGGATGACTAGTATTTCCCTATCTTCAACCAATCTTAAATAATAAAATTTATTGGGAAAATGAACTTATCAATCTTTAATAAAACATCCTCTATTACACCCTTAGGATAGGTGAATGAATGATCAGCTAATTACAATGTAATAGTAGGATACACTAGTTGTAGGTTTAATCTATTGAATATGGATAAATGCATAAAATAGATGTAAGCATCTAAATCACATAACACTCTTCCAGAAAACTTATCTCATGTAGCCATAAAGATTCTGAAAATTTAAGGGTCCTTAAGCTTTTATGGGATTTTCTTTTGAATATTGGCTCCAAGCTTTTCACTAATGGTTACTATTTCAAAGTCTCCAAATTTTCTCTTTTTTACTTAAAATGACATTCATAAATTTGGAAAATGTAGGCATTTTTTTAGGGCTTCAAGAAAGGATATAATAATTATTACATTTTTAAGACCTTTAAAAATCTAAAAAATTAATTATTAAAAATTTTCTTTGTTAATTTCTAAGGTAAATGTGGTAGATTTCATTTAACTACCTTCATAATATGTTTTTCTATTTCCTTAGTTGAGAATATACCTCAAAGTTAGTGGGTTTTAATGAGGCTTCCTCAAGAATTTTATTTGCAGGCTCTTACCCTTCCTAACCACTTCCTCAAGAATTTTTTCCACTCCTCAATTCAATACCCTTGCATTGTTCCTTACCCTTCATTTTGGACTTATTTTAGTGTTATCAAGCAAGGTTCCTTATGCTTTTTTTATGCAAAGTTCCAATTAACTGCCCAAATTGATTTTTAATATTTCTAAATATAGTAACCTAACTTCACAACTGAGTATCCATTTATAGAACAAAATCTTTTAATGAAGTCCTTTTATCCTTGGGTTGATTATTTTTGTTAAATCCAAGGTGATAATTAGGCCTTGGGTTAGCATAATTTTAAGGAGGGTTATTCCAATTTCCTTCTTGATTTGGCCAAGTGGAGATCTAATTATTATTCCTTTTTTTATTATTACTTTAATTAAAATTTGGGTGATTTCTTCAACAAGGATTATAAGTATTTGATCAAGAGGTACTAGGTATATTATTAATGTCATTAAGAGATTCTACTTCTAATGCAATTAAATCATTATAGGATCAAAACATACTTTCCTTTACAAACAATAGTGTACACTATGGTGAACTAACACAAAGGTTATATAGCTTTTTAGATGTATTAGCTATCTATAAAATAAAATATGATAGAGCATTCGATTAAAACGTAATATCTACTTTTCTAGAGTTAATTCTTTCGTCTGACCATTTGAAATTATTGGTGTCAATTTCTTTGACCAAAGCATGAACTTCATTAAATGGTCTGTACATCAATTATCCAATAGTAGTTGCATCAAAAATAGATCTAAGCGAGCCACAAAACCATTAAAAAAAAGTAAAAAATGACCTAATAAGGTAATTCATGGTGGTGACACTTCTAAAGTAATTCTTCAAATCTTTTGTAAGCCTCATAAATGGACTCACCATCTATTTTCATAAATAAAGTGATATCATTTTTAAGTTTAACAATCTTAGAAGGGGAAAAGTACTTTGCCAAAACTCTATAAGATTAACCATTCTAGGTAGTTATTGAGTCTTGGGGAAAAAAATTATTCACATATTAGCTTTGTTTCCCAATGGAAAAGGATATATCCTACATCTAATTATATCATCAGATACACTATTATATTTAAAGTGGCACAAACTTTTATAAAATTGTTTATATATAGGTTAGAATTTTCTATTGGTGTTCCCCCAAAAATTAGAATTTTTCACCAATTGAATTATTACAAGATTGAGTTCAAGATTGTTAGCTTGAATAATAGGTCTATTAATGCTTATGATGAATGACTTCAACCTTTGGATTAGCATATTTTCTAAGTGGTCTAGACTGATCATTCTCTAAAATTTTCTTTGTAGTTTTTAAATCATTTTGAATTTTTAAATATTTTTTTAATTTTTTTAAAGAGTCTTTTTAATTTAGCATCAAATAAAATTTCTAATGGTTGTTTATTAAGAATGAAAATAACACAATAAAAAATTTTAAAACACTTAACACTTAATAATTAAAAGACTATTAATTCTACTTTTCTTAGAAAAATAAAAAATATGGAACACAGAGAAGGTAAAATAAAGAAAAGAGGATAAGATTATATGAATAGTTCATGTACCAATATAAAATGCAAGAAAGCATAATTAACTTCAAGTCCTCATTAATGGTGCCAAAAGATTGAATAGCCTTTTCCCACACACTACTCGGTTTATTAATATTTTTTTTTCTTTTTTAATGTTTAATTCTTTTTTTACGCAAGTGCACATGTTGGATCAAGTAATAAAGTGATGAGATGAACATTGTACCCATAAGAATTTTGAATTATCCTAGGCTTACCATTGTACTATTTGCTAATATTAATATATTTTTCTTATCAAATAATTTAAAAGGGTGATTCAATGAAAAGTTAAAAGCTATCATTGCAAAAGATAAAGATAATTTATTTTAAATCTAAACCTGCAATGCTTTATAACACATACTTTTAACTAAGAGATTTTTTTTTTGAATATTAGTGTGAATTAGAGCATACTTACTCCTTATCTATATCAAGCTCATTGGATTATTAGCTAGGATTCCTCCTAACTATAGCATTACTTTCTACATAAAATCCATTAACCATAAGTGCTATATGTCTATGCTAGACAAAATTATGCTTTAAAATATCTAATTATTCTTCAATTCCTTCATCGAGGCTCTAAATCAAACTAGGTTTTATGTTTATGCATGGCATATACTTAAAATAAATAAAGCTTGATGAAATTAAAAATTAAAAATTAAGCAATTTATTAAACAATCAACTTACACTATGCAATACATGGTTCTTAAATTATCAAATATTCAAATAAAAGAGTTTAACTACAAAAATGATACAATTTAACACAACAAACATTTTTTATTTCAATAAATAAAAATAAATTAAAAAATAGAGAATAAAAATAGAAATGATCTGGCTAAGTAGTATAGACTCCTTTGTACACCTCTCTACACAAATATAAGACTCTCACATAGATACAAAAGAGTTAAATCTCTAGTAAAAAAAAAAAATCTTTCACACTAACACAAAAACTCACTCACATCTCTTCATGTTGCCATCCCTCTAACATGAATAGTAAGCCTTCTATTTATAAAATAAAAAAATAACTGGGCTTGAATTATGATGTTGGCTTGGTGGTGCTACAACACTATTGAACCATCATATTGGTTCACCACTTGTTGCACTAATTCACTAATTTAAACATCTCTAGTAATCTTTTTTAATTGCTGTTGACCTCGACTTTTGCTCGAGTTCTCTCTAGCACCTTCGATCGACTTAATTAGATCTCATCGAGCCCAATTCGAACTCGAATCAGTATGAATTGATTTTAATTAGACTCGACCCTATTCAATCAAGCCCGAATAGTTTGTTTTTTACCGCAACGAGCTCAATTTCATCTAAATCAATTTCAATTTGAGTTTAATTTTATTTAATTAAATTGATCGAGCATAATCTAATTATAAATTGAGCCAAATTGAGTCGAACTGGGTTTGGTTTAAACCTAGTTTCAACTCAATGGGCTCAAGCTAATTTAAATTAATGTTGTGTTGACCTTCTAAATAAATTTAACTCACGCCCTCTCCCTCTCTCGGTCCCTCCAGTTTACAGATCCTAGAAGAAGCGGATGTCCCCTTGCTCTCTGATCTTCTTCCTTGGATCGCAAAAATAAGGGGAGCCAAGGCATTTCCCACTCAATCGCTCTCTCTTGTGCCAGCCCAGGTGGACTCGAATGCTTCTCCCGCTCGAATCCCTCTCTCACGACTAAAATCGACGCCTCAATCCCATCCGAAGTCACCCATACTACGACTTCCCCTGCTCTCATCACTCCTTGCACCCTTCTCTTTTTCAAGGAGAGTATTCTCCTTCTTCTTGTTGTGGATCTATGGTTTATAATTTTGATGATAGCAAACATTCTTATTTCTCTATGATGGCCTTTTTTACAAACATTTCAGGTCCACACGATCAGACTATAATTTGGAACCAGCTCAAGATTGGGAAGAATAGGACTGAGTTAGTTTGTACACTTTTTCATTTCTTGAGTCTTTTATATATGGTGTGGCTTCAGATGTTTTGTAGCTTGGAAGATTTTCTGTTGTTCCCTAAAGATTTCTATTTTTGATAGCATCATCCTGGATGATCGATCCAAAAGAAGAAACCCTAATTAGGGCATCCTCATTAAGGCAGCCGTCATAAGCTGATCGGCCTTGATGATAAGCTCAATTCAGAAAGAATCAGCCGCCATGATCAGATTAGGTATTCATTACTTAGGAAACCGACTAGGATGATATACACATCATCCAGGACAATCTAACTAAATTATGCCTAAATTGATCTGGTATCTTTGGACAGCATTAATGGCTGATTGATACAATCACATTGTCCGGGACGATCGTAGGATCGGCCAGGACGATGTCCTGGATGATTTACATCGGCCAACATCTATTCCAGGCGATTAAAATTAGTTTTATACTAATCGTCTGAAATGATCGTGAGATCGGCCAGGAAGATGTAACCAATTTTCTTCTGATCGTCCCAAATCGTCCCGGGCTGATGAGCTTAATTTATACTAATAAATATTGTCATGGACGATAATGTCATCAACTTGCATTAATGAGCTCATTTTGAGATCTTCTATTTAAGCTTGACATGAAACTTTGTAAAGTGTCCTTGGAAGCCATTGTAGCTTCGTTCTTTTGGGGGTAACTTGAAGAGAGAGCTTGAAAGAGAGTGAGGAACGGGTGAAGTCTAAGAGAGGGAGAAGATCATATGAGGGGGGACTCAAGGGAGTGTGGAGGGGGATTCCACACGGTTGCTCCGACAGGCTTGCACCTTAATATCGTCGGATTCAAGGCTTGTCTTGAGGAAAGTTCACCAGAGAAGAATATCTCTTTGGGGTCAAAGGACCCGACGACTATGCCGCACCAGGGAAGGTGGAAGTTATTTTATAAGGGCTTCTCCACCTAGCTGTGTGGGATAAAGGAGAGACAGTTAGTTTAGTGCAATACTTGGAGGGTGCCTCCAAGGTGTGGATGTAGGTCAAGGTTTGACCAAACCACTATAAATCTGGTGTGTTCTTTCCTTTATTACTTCTGCATGTAATTTCCTCACTTTGATTTTCTTTGTGGTGAAATTTGTTTTGATTGAAAGATATTTTATTACCAATTCACCTCTCTTTTTATTAGCCTTGGGACTTGTTCAATAAAGCCTAACATCCCTAACGAACTTTCTAGTGCCATCAGAGCACTTTCACTTCTCTTCTTCTTCTCCTTGTTCTTCCACTTCTTCTTATTCTTCTTTTTCTCTTATTCTTCTTCTTCTTCTTCTTCTTCTTCTTCTTCTTCTTATTCTTTTCCTTCTCTTCTTCTGCTTATTTCTATTTCTTCTCCCCATCCTTTACTTCTCCTACCTCTTCCTATTTCATTATGATAGCTTAAAAAGAATATATGATATCGGGATCCCTTGCAAAATTTGGAAATGAGATGTGCTTTACTTTCTTTTTCCATGTGTATGCTTCCATGTCTTCCAATTAAAATTATTTGTCATGTGAATCATGAAGTTCTTGTGTAGATTACTTAGAGGATTCTAATCTAGTAGGTATGCAAATTGAATTTTCATGCTAGTTTGTTTCATGTGATATCATAACCAATGCACGCTAACTATTTGGAGGAATGCTACTAAAAGAAACGTTCATTTTTTCTTACATTGGAATTTTATATGATAAGCTTGTTCATATGGAAATTTCTGTAATGCAATGTTTAGAGCTTTGTCAACACAAATCTAAGAATCAAGTTGTTTGAATTTTACTTTGCTTCATGTGTGCATACTTGTTGTTGAGGTGATTACTACATGAATCAAGAAAGGCTTCTTTGTGTAGATTATCGATAAGATTGTGATCTAATAGGTGTACGAATTTCTTTCTTATGATAGTTTGTTTTGCGTGATCTTTCAAGCATTACACCTTAAGTGTTTGATGAAATGCCTTAAAAAAAGTTTGTTGTTTGGTTAATGGTAAACCATAAGACTTAGACTTACATATGATGTTTATTAAGTAAATATCCTGTTAGTATATTTAGTATAAAAGATTTTACATCATTTTCTTTCTATGTTGGTGGGAGGTTGACATGACTAAGTTAACTAAATTCCCTCATATTTCCTTTCATGTGGTATAGTTAACACTTCTTGTATTATTTTCTGTCACTTTCTATTTCAAGGTTATGATGTTTGAGAATACCCTTCGATGCAATGCTTCTTAACATAGCATGAGATTTTATCCTCTATGAAGTTCTTATTGTTGTTCCTATAGCTGGAGAGCTTATGAATTTACATAATGGGAAAATTTTCTTTATGATTAAAGAGGTGTTTTCTCTCTTAGATATACTTTATCAGTGTCGTTAATGTTATTTTGTCAATTCTCTTTAAAGCGGCTTTACGGGTTTGC